CTGCTTGTTGTATTTTCTACTTCACGTTCTGCTCGATCCTGGCTGGCTGATGTTCTGTTGCCCTTGATTTGTCGTACAATATCGAATATTACATTGTCGATGATAATTGGACGAATTGTGCAGTTCAATTATAGATGCAATCAACCACACGAGCCACCATGCGGGCAGATTCATAGCAATAAAGAATAACTATTGTTGTGCATGCCTAACAAATTACCATTGCTTTGTCTTCCTTGCGGCATAGCCAGTGGAACCGTTATCCAGGCGTGTGTGTGCTTGTCAGCTGAGCACATACTGCTGTGGAGAAATCTCAGCACAACAAAACTTTATGTCTGCACCGGCGTTGACGTAGACCATCTGTATTGCGATGGTGTGCAGTGCGTAAGGGCTATCCACTTTGCTGGCCCTGGTATACCATGGTATACAAGTAGAGTATAATATTATGCGAGTACACAGACACGTCCAACTGATTCTGGATACACAATGATTTTCATTGCACACCACGGTGTTTGGAAAGAAAAGCATTGTGAGTGTCACTGCCAGTGCAGGCATACCCAACCCAACAACCTCACACTCTAATCTTTGTAGTGGTACTTCAATCAGGAAACCAGGGCAATTGAGTACTATGGGAGTGGGGAAGCCTTGGTGCATGTGCTGTTTGGTGGTGCTGTCAACAACTAAGTCACTTTTGTTCCAGAGTCTATTAGTTATTAGTTCTCCTCGGCCATACACCAAAATAACATGACAGTACATGTATTTGACAAGCGGCCATTGTTCCACAATACCCCTGCAATGTACACGGCAGACCCGGACTTTCCCACCATACCAGTTGCACTGAGGAGATGTATAAAATGCCATTGCCTGCTCTCAAATCTACAACTACCGAGTATCTACACTGAGCGCACACTGCCAAAATATCTTTGCCCCGGTTATGTCCCCGCACACGGTACAGGTACCAGACACAGCACACAGTAAAGTTGGTTGATAAGACAGTGACTCTGCATACAATGCACTTAGTTTCATCAAATGCATCTCCAAAAGTGCCTTGAAGCTGGTGAAAATGGACAAAATCATGAAACACATGCTGACATTTTTACCAAGACCTTCTCGCAGACAAGACAATGCAATCATGTGCATGGTGTAATGCAGTGATACACAACGCCAACTTCTCTGTGACAGGCTCATATAATAGGTTTCTGTTCGTTTTCAGCGTGACATTTCAAGGAATCTTGTTCGGGCAAAACGGCGCTTCAAGGTTGGATGAGCAAAAAGCGATAGCAATCTGTAGAAAAAGGTGATCTGTACGCTAGCGTCTGTGAGAAAAACGAAGTAAAAACCGTAGTATCTGGGAGTATCATAACTTAATTTGTTGCTGGAGACTCATAGTGCTACAAAACTCAATGAAGATCAAGCTGTCTGACAAACACACACACACACACACACACACACACACACACACACACACACACACACACACACACACACACACACACACACACACACACACACACAGGAATAATGGAAGATAAGTAGACTGGAATACCCCACCGAGAGAGTACTGCACCGGGGGATCACAAGATCAGAAAGATCACAACATGTCCATGTCGGCGTACAGTTCGGCGGCGTGCAGCTCTGGCCGGCAGAGGACAATCCGGCCGGCAGCCTGCTGAGGAAGACCAGAGTTCGGCGGCGTGCAGCTCTGGCCGGCAGAGGACAATCCGGCCGGCAGAGGAAGACCAGAGTGGCAGAGATCAGAGCATTCACTGTTCCCCAAACAGATCTTAGGATTGTGTTGTTAGAGGGCTGTGCTGTAAGTGCGACGTGTGTTCTGCCTACTCATGGCCTTGCGGAGCACAAGTTTGACTTGGTCACTGGTTGCCACGTCCAGTGGTGATTGGTCATTATCATCAACGAAGAAAGGCTTCAGACCAAAGTCGAGTAGCTTCTCGATAATGTCTACGTGACCACTACGTGCGGCTATGTGTAGCAGTGTGCAGCCATCGTCCTCAACTTCGTAGGCAACGTCGGACGGAGTGGCATCCTCCAGCAAGAGATCTACTTTAGCAGAATCATGCTGGGAAATGGCGTCGACAAGTGATCGAACCAGCTCTTGCTTGTCGGCCGCTTTCCTTGGCAATGAATCAGCAGCAGATGCCGCAGCCCCCGCCGACTCATCTTCCATATCGTCACCATCGCCGTCGTCGTCATGTGCCTCACTGTTATTGTCCTCCACATCGCTTTCACGGCTACGGACGTAATCTTCCTCTTCCTCGGACTCGGCGTCCAGGTCTGAGTCGTCCTCTCCGTCGCAGTTGTCACTATCACTATCAGTATCAACATCAGCATCAGCTGCTGAGCTGGGCACAAGCTGTATGGAGCGATAGGCGTCACCCATCGCCTTGCTCAGGACTAGCCGGACGTTGTCGTTGCTGGCCAGCTCGTACGCCGTCTTCTTCTCCTTCTTCGTCTTTGTCCACGGATCCGCACCGTTTTCCAGCAGTAGATGTGTGACCGGCACGGTACCTTCCGTCGCGGCTGCATGCAGTGCCGTCCAGCCATCGCTGTCGCGCTGCTCCACACGAGCACCCCGGGCCAGTAGGAGCTTGACAATCTCCCGCTGCCGCTCCAGCACTGCCGAGTGCAGCGGTGTCAGTCCGTTGTCGAGTAGAGCGTCAGCCGCTATGGCGCCGGACACCAGGAGGCCGCGGACCTCCTCAATGTCGCCGTCGTGGATGGCATCTGCCAGCAGGACTTCGGCGGGAAAGGACACGCTTTTCTTGCGAGCTAGCTTACTTGCTCTGGTGCCTCTACTGGCAGCATCACTACCAGCGCCTCTAGCCTTGCTGCTGGTGTCATACTCACTCACTGATGCCTGACGCAGTAAAGACTTGAGGGGTTTCCCCTGCGTGGAGGGCTTGTTTGGTTTGACTTGCCTGGCGGGAGCGACCCATCCCATATCCACCTCACTGACAGTGTTACGTCTTGATATTGCTTTGCCAGTCCCTAAGTAGTCACTTGAAAGGACTTGATGACGCGCATAAGGACCCCTCTTGCCCAAGCTGCTAATCGGGTAGTTGGTGGATGTCATTGGCTTTGTAGTAGTATGGTTGGTGGGGTAGTGAACAACCCCTACGCGACGACGGACTGCCTCCATAGCTGCAGTTGTACTAGTCGGGTGGGTGCTGCGAGGAGCTGGTTCCTGCGTGTTATCTTCGTCCTCCTGGCTGTCCTCGTCCTCGTCACTGGCATTGACACATGATGTCACGGCCTGCTGTTCCTCTTCCACGTCATGGCCACTGGCATCTGTCTTGTGTTTCTGACACGGGCTGTCTAGGGCAATGCTCTTGTTGCCATCAGCTGCCACAGTGTCACTAGACGTTGCGCTGAGGTCACTGGCTGATGTCAGCCCAACGCTGTCAACACTGGATAGAAGACGTTGTCGGTTCAGCGTCGACTCCTGAACAAATCTGTCGCAGGCAAACGTTGCTGGCAAGTCATTCGCGACGTCTCCGTCGTTCCTCCAAGTACTGTAACTGGTGTTGTGTTGCGAGTGCGAGATGTTGACTGACTCCAAAGAGCATGACACAAGTTGATGCAGTGTGTCATCGCAACTGAACAAGGAGGAAAATGATGATGCCCGTGCCAAAACCTCTGCAGCAATGGATTCGGCGTCAGACTCGGCCGCGTGGATAGTTTCATCGCTGCTACTGCCACAGGCCAAGTCCTCTGCCAGATACTGTTCCTCGTCCTCATCAACAAGTGATTCTACCAGCGTTTCCTGTGATTGTGACTTCTGCTGCTGTTGTTCAAGTCGTCGAGGTGGAGGTGCTTCAGCAACCACACAGGGCGCTGTCTCTTGCTCACGTGATGCTGCTGCCGCTGTTGCTGCTGCAGGCTGAACGTCTGCACTGATGTCTTCACTACTACTACTACTAGTAGCACTGCAAGTGCCAATACTGGCCACTGGGGTGTTGGCAAGCCAATTGCCTTCAAGTGATACCTGTTCACCACATGGGCATTTGTGGAGGCAAGAAGGCCTATCAGCTCTGCTGTCCAGCCCTTGGGATGACGGATCACCTACAACCTGGTTGTCATTGGCTGCCTCTGATGGCCCACATCTCTGTGCCACAGGCTGATCTCTGCCAGAACAACTGTCAGGCGTACTGTCAATGCTCGAGTCTGAAATGAAAACATGTTCCACTTGCCTCAGCTGCTGGTGACCAGCTCCTGAACGTCGAATGACCGGTACAACTTTGCGCTCTTTTGAAATGACACAGTCGTACTGGACATGATGCACGGTCGCACCCCTAATTCTACTCACATCATCGACTTCTATGACACGCACTAGCTGGGCACGCAACGGTAGCAGCGCTGGACTTCCTGTCCGCTCGTCTCTCTCGTAGCTGCTTCGTGCAGTCCTACTGCCGGAGTCGTGTAGAGGAGACTCACTATCCACAGTGCCCTCGTCAGTAGAGCTAAACGACTGCGTGGAGTGAAGCGATAATCTGTCTTCATCTTCGCTTAGTGAACCTACAGACGATGATGTTCCGTAATCCGAGTCACCAGCACGATCACACAAATCTTCAGAGCGGCCAATCCACGTTAGCGGATTGGGCATGGCCAACCCGACCAGGCCCGCTCTGGCCATTGCTTGAAAGATCACGTCTTGCAGAAGAGGATCCTCGCATCTGTCCATGGGTAAATGACCTTCTTTGTCGAGTGCGGCCAAATTAGCACCTTCATTGATTAGCCAGCAAGCGATGGAGGTGCTGCTGACCATCGCGGCAGTGTGCAGTAACGTACAACCTTCCTCATCTCTCACGCCGATATCACCGCCGTGACGAACGAGTAGCTGCAGTAACGCCAAGCCTTGGCGTACGAAAATAGCCTGGTGCAGCACGGTCAGGCCTTCGTCATCCAAGCATTTCAGCTCATCTCGAACAATTGCCTGTTGGTCTGCCAGCTGCATCAGACAGACCTCGGTCTCTGCAAGGCTTCCCTCCTTGACGGCTTGTCGTAGCTGTATTTTACACTGTTGCACCGGCGTGGACGATGGCAACGATGAACATAGATTGTCGGCTGATCCAGCAACCGGCTGGGCTCGTTCACACTCCAACGACATCCTGGCAGCGGCGGCACACACGTACAAAACACAAACCACGAGCGAGGTTACTTCTCTCCGAGTAACTCAGAAACTGCGCATCGATTCCACATTCGAACACTGGTAAAAAACCGCGGTCAGTTCATTGAATCATTCACTGCACTGCACTGCCTATGTTAACAACTACTTCTTGTCCCAGACGAGCGCACTGAGAGAAACCCATGAATCGGGTGAACTACTACAACAGCACAAAGCTAACTAAATATTTACTTGGCCGTTCGCTCGCACCAGGCCGCAGCGTGATTTGCAGGTTCAGCAAAGACGTGCTCCACTCGACGCTATACCGTATACGCTAGTAAGCAGTATTAGTACACGATCAGCATGCGCGCTAGTCGGACAAGAAAGACGAGAGCGCCCGACACACGACCTAACTGTAATCACTCCACACTGCGAGCGCACGTGAAACAGTCAACAACCCACTACGAGTGGTTCGGGCAACTCGTTCAGCTGAGTCAGGGCATGCAGTACATAAGATCTACCGCCTAGTACTGGCACTCACTGCCGAAATCTCTAATCTCGTTTGCTCCCCACTAGCACTCCGGCAAGACTGAAGTCTGCGCTGCGCGCATCCCGAAAGAAATAGGTTCCGATACTGGCGATCGATTGCCTACGGAATACGGACATGGTCGACCCCACCGGTACCGCGGTCAGGATCTAGGAGCTAACGATAGCTACGTGTACAGCGAAGTCAGCGTAGGTCTATGAGTATGACTTATGACTAATATGAGGCTCCGTATTTTTGACTACTACCGCAGTACCGGTACTAGTACATCAGTCACGCAGTCTGCGATGAGGGTTGCAGCCTGCAGGCTAGTACATAAAAAATAATAATGCACCGTTTCTGAACGCCCCGATCGAACCCGTCCCCGTCGTATCAAGCCCTACACAGCACACTACACTACTGTCAGTAGTGACTGCCTGCAGCTGTGCATGTGACAGACTCAGTATGCATGCTGGCTGTAGAGTGTAGCACGATCATCTACTCGCGCGAGCTACATGTATGTACCGGTATACAGTAGATCTGATGCGACGGATCCCAGAGCGTATCGGTAGGCACGTGCGAGCACCGTCACAGTCGACTAGTTACTAGTAATACTAATAGTAGTCGTTGTACATGTGACGAGCGTGCACGTGCATGTGTGACTGAGTCACAGCGAGTGTGTGATCGTGACTGATGCCGCACGTGGTTGTTTGCAAACCACTATTAAGTATTATGACTACACTCTACACTACACTGTAGTGTAGAGTGTAGTCCTATCGTCGAGCTAGTGCAGTAGTGGTGACTGTACTCATGGTACTCCACTCCAGTCATGTAGTCGACTGCAGTACAGTACAGAGTTAAGTAGTCATGTAGACTTGTAGTGCACATAATCTGTGTGTACAGAAACTATCTTATTCTCAGTACACTGTCACTGGTCTGTATCTGGGAACGAACGATGTACGAGGGCGTTTGTGGGGCTACTCCAACTCCAAGTCCAAAGTCCAAGTCAGTGGGCGCTCGTATGTAGAAATAAAACTACAGTACAGACGATCTTCAGCAGAGTACATCTACAAGGCAGTCGGTACACCGCGATCTGTACAGTGTGCTGCTGTGTGTGATCTCATTTTTCTGTTTTAGACATACATGTACATGTAGTATACGATGTACAGTCATGTACCATGATGTACAGTGCCCACACACACTGGGCCACAGTCCCACATAGACTTTTGAGTGTGACCAGTGGTGTCCACGAGTATGTGTTGAGGTCGGGCGCCACACCAGGCCAGGGTTGGTTGGACTACATGTACCTGAGTTTCCCTGTTATCAATCATGGTTATGTGTCTTGCACCACTATAATTTAGTATAAACTAGTATAAAGTACATGTATAATAAAGTACACAATCATGTAGTAGCTATCATGTGTACACGTGTACTAGTATTCGTAGCGGTACATAGCGTTTCGCGCGAGAGGACAGGTCGACGGGTCACTCATACCGCGGCACGGGTAGATTTTCAGTCTTTCAAGACTTCACATCGCTGGGGATACAGGGGGATTACAGCCAATTATTTTTACACTGTAGATGACTCCCTGCCCCTGCTTTTCATGGTGTTACCATTGCCATTGCTTTCCAACACTCAACAGAGGGTGTCAGTCACACGTACAATCTACGCGTACGTCTCGCATCTACCAGGTACTAGGTCTACACGTACACACGCTGCGCATACTGACATAGCATATGCACGTGGCCGTGGGTCGACCGGTGCGCGGTCTGCGGAGCGAGTTCTTGACATGTGTCCCTGGCGGCCTAGCGCCTGGGGCTAAGATTAGAAGAATAATCACGTGCACGGTGCTAATGACCCCGCGATCGGCCCTGGCCTAGCCTGGATCGTCCTTGTCGTGGCTGGGGCTGCTGCATGTGACGATGGCTCTCGTCTAGGGAGGATAGTCGGCTGAGAAAGAGGAGATGAGGAAGGTAAGCATGTGGAGAGTTTTGTGCACCTAAACTGTCCTTGTCACATACTGTACAATGTACGGAGAGGAGTGGCCAAAATGCTACGTGAAAGAGGAGTTTGGATTTCGCTACAAAGATGTCACACCAAATATGCACATCATTGACCAAGATGTTACAGGTGAAGAAGGAAAACATCGTCTTGCGCATACTGAGTATGGGTGTGACGGAGAGAGATACCAGCTCCAGTTCACAGTTTAGAGTTGTGTTCTTGTGGTGCACGATCCAAGGCACATGGCAGGTTGTGCGGACCTGCCTGGCTCGGCGCTACCGATCACTCATCAGTGCGCGAATAGCGAACCACACGTACAACGCGGACGGTGTGGACACAGGATATGGATGCGTCCTAGTACAATGTATTCCGAAAAAAAACGATTGCATGCTGTCGCAAACGTGCAGCTGCTACTAGTACTAGTAGCAGCAAACATTGTATACTTAATAACTTATGATTGTAGTACATAGTCATTTGACTTTGTAAATACTTGAAAGACTACAAAGTACAAGGCAGTGCGGAGAAGGGTAGAGCCAAGGAACTGTCCAGCCCACGCCCAGACAGTAAAAGTGTTATTCTCAGATACCAACGTCGTTGTTCTGCACTGGTAACGCACGCCTACTGCATGACTACAATTTTTTGTTTTTGTTACGGGGTAACGGCCTCCTTTACGGGCAAAATAAAGTCATGTAATGATGTAGACATGACTACAACTACATACAGGACCGTGATTCTTTATACGTCTCTCAGTGAGGCCTTGAGTTGAGCAGTTGAAGTAATAAACAGTTGATGGGGTGCGATTGTTCCACCTTCGTGTCAAGCACTACATTGTGGCTCATAAACTCACACCTTTGATACAATGACTGTAGTACTAGTACTATGCATAACAACAATCAGCAAGTATGCTTTCGCTTTGAGCCCGGCCCAATAGCATTATTTGTTCTCGAGTGTGTCAAGGAAGGCTTGACGAGACACTGTTCGCGAACAGGCAAATGAGTTGTTAGAACAGAGATAGAGGAAGTCCGGGGACAACAGTGTTATGTTACTATGTACAGAGGACTTGAGATAGCAAATTGTCCGCTGACTTCTGGACTGAGCAACGGAAATAAAATGATTTGATTGCTAAAACATTATTTTCAAGAACTAACATTCTGCCCCGGGACAATGACAGGTAGTTAGAGGCAAGAGCGAAGAAATCATGGTTGTTCAGTTGACTACTACTACTAGTGGGACGTGCAAGATGGCGTGAGAACACGCACGCGCACCTGCTCATTCGACAATCGACTTGAGTGCGTCCTCTGATCGACAGCAGGTATTACGGTAGGCTCCTTCACTGAACGTCCTTCCGGAAAATGCTATTACAGCGGACAGCAGATCACAGAAGTTACATAGCAAACTCATAATAGCCAGCTGCTGTCACTGTAGGAAGGCAGGATGCATGCGACAGGAAATTTCTCCTGATCACGTGGAATTTGTACAGCCCCACCGGTGGCGGATTTTCTCAAACAACTCCCAGTTTTCTGTTACCTGGACTGGGAGAGACGAGGTGAGTTGATCGTGAAGAGGAAGCTGACCACACCACACACTAAGGCCGGCAGTACTAGTCTTTCCTTCATGCATCGGAGTAGAATGAAGCTAGAGCTAAGATCAGGCTTGAAAAGAAAGTTTGTCAAGCAGTGGATTAGCCCAGTTGGCGTAGGATACTCTTGCCATGGCAAATCACGGCCCGTGTGCGTGTGTATGTGTGTGTGGTGCATGTGTGTGTGTGTGTGGTGCATGTGTGTGTGTGTGTGTGTGTGTGTGTGTGTGTATAATGGTGTAATCCCAGCACAAGTTGCTATGTCTAACATAGCTGTTCGCTATCATCGCTTCCGCGATGGGCAGGTTTGAGGTCTGAGGTGTGTGTATGTGCAAGTGTTTGTGTGTGCTCGTGTGCCGCAAATGACAGGGTCCTAAGGATATCCACATTGATTATTTCTATTTTTGTGGAGGAGAGCAGAAGATGACTGCCCATGCTGTCAGGGAGAGTTCCCAGTGGATCTTGTGTAACTGAACAGTCAAGCCTGAGGGTCGCACCAAATGACCAAGTCCAAGGCAACTGACATCCATCACCACCGTGGCCGTGGCGATAACAATGTGTACTGAATGCAACTGTTACTTGTAAGGAACACCACTAACGTAAAATTGCTTCGCAAAATTATTTGCTTGGCACGTGATCCGGGTAATGGTCTTATGACTTACATGTACATGTACATGTAATTATTGTATTGAATAATGTATCTCATTCTCTCAAGGTGAGTTTGACCAACACTTGGTACGTACTGCACTGACTCTTTGTGTGAGCAAGAGTAATCTTACCCTTGGCCTTGGAGTTGGAAGTAACTAACTTACTAGTACTACTACTAGTACTAACTTAGTACTAGTACTAGTAGTACTAGTTGGAGTCTTGGTGTGAGCCAGTGAGTGAGCAAGTGAAACAGTGTGAGTGACGCTGTCTGACAGTGACAGTGACAGTCATGATACCTAATCAGCACGGTGGGTCATTGCCAGTTACAAACGACACTGCACTAGGGACACGTACATGTATGATGTACAGTGAGTTGGTTCAGCTGCAGACTGCAGTCCCATGGCAGTGGGAACATCAGTTGTCCTGGTTGTCAATGTCAGGCTTGAGAAATCCCCAGGCTGTGCATATCACTAGCTTGACGCTAGTAACCATGGTCACATGACCAGTCTGAGACTTCAACGCACAACTCTTCCTGAAGTGCTGACACTACCGCAAAGTAATTAGTTATCATGATGGATATTATCCCACACGGTCGATCACGTATCGTTGTGGCAGATGCAGATACAAATGTAGCTCGCAGAATGTCATGCATGTGTTGGTACAGCATACAATTATGTGTGTCCGTGGTCAAAGGCATCTGCTGCTGTAGCTGAAAAAAAGTGTTGTGTGTGTGTGAGAGAGAGAGAGAGTGTGTGTGTGCGTGTGCGTGTGTGTGCGTGTGTGTGTGAGAGAGAGAGAGACAGAGAGAAGAGTCATGGACATGTCACTTCTCCTTCTTGAGTATATGTACATGTACATGTATACTCTGCAATCGTGTAAAAATTGTACTTACTGATGTCAGTTGGATACACTCATTGCCGTCTTCGTGATACCAGTACATACATGTACATGTATCACGAAGACGGCATGAGTACATGTACATTTCAGTAACCGTATGAACACTAAAAATAGCCTTTGTAATTTGTAGCCCAGTATTTTGCACATGCAAGGAAGGAGTCAAAACTCACAAAAGAACAGAGTGTACCGTGTCCTTGATACAGCTCAGCAGCTGCATTCTGACTCTTATCTGTGTGTCAGTGTCGGAAGAAGTGAAAAGGATGGAACCAAGCTAGACTAGAGCTTAGACACTACAATAATACACGTAGACGTCTTTACGTAGACAAGTGTCATGGCTCATGGTGATGTGTCATTGTCCGCACCTACACACACTGCAGTACGGGTACAGCACTGAGTCGGTATACTGTAAAATCGTGTATCAAACCATCTACTGAGTACCCAGTCTGGTACATTTCCTCTGGATACACGTTCCCAGACTGAGACAGTGCTCACTCTCTTGCTTTGCAACAAAATACCAGCCAACTGCCCAGCTGTGCTGCTGACACGGGTAGCCTTTTGGGGACTCTTTGCAATGAGTTACTGTTTGGTAACACAACCAGCACCCTGCAGTGAGACGTGTGCCCCGGAATACAGCGGCCGCACGCCGTTTACTAACTTTAGGCATCTCCAGCAGATCAATCTGTTCGATAATGGAACACTTTCAGCGGATACTAGCACTGCAAGATAAGATTCTGTCTGAAAATACAAGCACATTTTACAGGCTTGTCCGGAAATACACAAAGTACATGTTTTGACACAAAGTGCATGACTGTAAGAACGATGTCTGAGGTGCTTGGAAACACCGTTTTATAAGGCCCAATTCTAACATATCCACTTTTTGTTCCCTTTTTAGTGTTGTAGAGGTGTTGCACTGTGCTTGTAGCACGAGTCCACACACTGTGACACAGACTCTTGGTTATACAAGTACTGCCTTATCGGTAGATAAACAAAAATAATAATATGATCGTGCATTGTATTATTTGCCTGGAGACAAACGCAGGCTGATACAGTCGTGTCAGCACCATTTCCCCAGACTGACATTGCTTTGAGCACTCCCCATTGTCTGGATTTCCGGAACATGCCCTTTCATAGTAGTCTGTCTCGAACTGCACGGCAGCACCAGTTCGAGCCAGGGCGCACCTGCAGACTGTGGCAGTGGCACTTCTTAGCGCAGCTTGGATCCGTGTTTCTGTGATGTCTTGGATGACCTCTCCAGCACCCTCGAAGACCACCAGTGCCCACACTACGCCTGCTGTTATCAGCTTCAATCTTTGTGCAAAGAAAGACAATGGATCATTCGGAGTCAGAGGACATGCGGAACCCTCTGTTCTCAGCTAAACCGAAGACGAACATCTATACAGTAACTTAGTACCGGTATTATAATGTAGCACCATCAAAGATGCGGTGCGGAGTGGTAAGTGGACCTTCAAGTTTGCCAGATTTTAGGCTAGGGCGGAAACACCGAGGCAGCCTGAAGGGCAGCTATCTTTACACGTATGATGTAGGCCATTTCTGTGTCAGAGTCTAGTCGGCGTCCTTGGTCCCTTGGACTCCGACCCAAGTGAAGCTGAGGGTTGTTCAAAGACTAAAATTATAGAAGGCCGAGGAGGCACTTGCCATGGTAAAGTTATGCCTTATGCTGTAGACCTATTGCGAACTGTGTCTATATCTACATGTACATGATTGTACATGATTCAGCGAGTAGATCTACATGTACCCTTCGTGGACTGCGCTGATGAGTGATGGCATTGATCTCTAAAATGTACATGTACATGTACATGCCTCCAGTATAGTAAAATATCGGGTAGCAGCCTAGCAGGGGTCTGGTACATGGTGTACTCCTAGGTCGTCGTAAGTTCCTACAAGTCTTGGATCCTCTCCTTCCTTGCCGGCCTCAGAGTCAGAAGCATTATTATCGTTTGCTCCGCACCATGCATGGCACACGATTTGCTGAACTGAGTGGAAACAGCACAAAAATACAGTGAGTAGTGCATCAGAGGATTCCACATTGATGGGACGCACAAACCGGAACTTCTCTGCTGAAGAGCCAGCACTTAATTAACCCTGAACTATTTAACGCTGGCACTAACTCAATTAGACTACTATTGCACGAGCAACATACTAGATTAGTACTTGAAGTACAGCTAGAGATTGACCTCCTGAGTCCTCACTCACTCTATCAATATTCTATGAATATCCTGGTCTATGGTTATCCTGGCTCAGCCTCAGGCTACATGACTCTCTGACACTCTGAATTGGATTACTTTGCGGCCTGACACGATTCAGTTCGATTTTGTGGTGACCGTTTGTGGAGTGCGTCTCTCGTCCGCCTCAAGTTAGGTGTTCACAGACTCAGACTCAGAGCAGGATTTGCTCTGGCTCTAATCTGGGGAGGCCCAAGGCTAGGGCTCTACGAAGCGTACATCCTCCCCATACTGTCATGTGTCTAGGAGCTGCATACATGTACATGACTGGTATGATATATCCTAACATTGGTTCTAAAAACCAGTATTTAGTCTATTTTAGAGGAAGGTTGTAGTAAGGTCACTGTTTCCGAACACAGTGTCCTCCACCTTGTTTCATGCTGTCAATCTAACAATGTACATGACTGTATACATGTACGCCAGAGTCGTACCACCTACATGTAAGTCCTTGTGACTCACACCTACATGTAAGTCCTTGTGACTCACACCTACATGTACGTCATTGTACATGTATCCTACATGTAAGTCACAGAGAGGTTCCAGGCTGTCCAAGAGAGTGCTCATTTACCGAGAGGCAGAGCTACATGTAGTTCAAGCAATAAGAGGACAGAGAAAGTGTTTTTACTCTGAGTTTCACGCACTAAGCGATCATCAAAAACTTTCTGATGATCGCTTAGTGCGTGAAACTCAGAGTTTTCAAACACTTTCTCTGTCCTCTTATTGTTTGTATCCTAGGTCTACGATTACTGGCTCTCCTGGTAAAGACCAGATTTCACCATGCACAAGGAGCTCTGGAGCAATTAATTTCATTATTTGTTTGCTGAAAGTGCCAGAGCTACATCGCATAAGGAAGCTTATTATTTTAGGCACATACACACACACACCTATCACGAATATTAGCATTAGAGGCAGGAATCTGACGGTTTACGTAATCAACTATGTCCTTTCAAAGCACAGACATGGCACGACACAAAGTGCCTTGACATGATGGCCCATGTCTACCTTTGTAGTTCGCACCCTATATACAGAAGACTACAATGTAAGAGTTTAGCAAGTAAGACCCTACACCTACATTGTACATGTACATGCTCAGTGGCAATTAGAAGGTGTGGAATGTGATGATGCCCTAAACTTAGGCTAAATGAGCCACTCTCAGCACTCTGGGAAGGTATGACGCTTTTAATATGCGTAATGTTTGGATCTAGCATACATGTATCTTCGTTCACCATGACTGTGTTCTTGTTTACTGTCACTAATATCAGTCACTTTCAGTGTCTAGGTGCCCGATCGCCACTCAACATGCAACCATATTGCTTTGCTGTGAAAAGCAATACAATCTGCACATTCAAATGACCCCAGCAACCGCACAACCACACTAGCAGTAGCACACCAACCACTGGCTCTGGTCATTATGATCATGTACAGTCAGTCATGTGATTACCAGTATGGTGCGAGGCACTCTAAGCAGCTATCGTTGCCATACATTCCCTGCTAACGTGCTGCGCCCCGCCTACAAGTACAAGTACAAGTACATGACCGCAGTACAAGCGCTTGTTGTGGCACTGGCAGACGACTACAGTCATAGTCATCGTAGTTTAAGCCAGGATAATCACGTCGTCGTCACGTATCCATCCTACCCCATGCACTACAGCTGTAACATTTGATAATTATTTTAATGGTTATGCTGTGTGCAAACTGGGAAGGTGAAAATAAAACCATGTATTAAACTCATTGCCCAATACAATGATAGCTTCATGCATGTACTATGCGTGTATTCACTGTAGTGGAGTACACCTACACAGTCATGTGTAGAGTCCAGCGGATAATGCTCCGAAAATGTTCGTATAATGCTAACCATAATGCTCCAAAAACTGCCTTATAATGCTGATTATAATGCTTCAGCAAGGGATATAATGCTCTTGGTTTGGGACAAAAATGGAAGAAAGGCTGCACACCGACAAACTTCCAGGAAATTATGCATATCGTTGAT